GTCGCTGTCATCTGTGACAAAACAGGTGACAGATAATGGAATGTCCAAGTCCTCCAGAATATTTCCGAAGGTACACATTTTCAACTAACCTCTTCGGCACGATAATTTTGTTTGTTTACAAATAGCTGGACAACGAATGTTTTCTCATCGAAGAAAACCAAATTCAGTAGTTCACCACTTTCGCGAATCAACTCTTTAGCTCTATTGAGTCTATTTTCTTTCTGTTGCGGTGTAAGTTCTAGCATTTTTTGGAATTTCATTGGCTTTACCCCGAGCTCATTTTCTAATATTTGCCGAATGGAATATTGCGATATGTTCAGCTCACCAGCCATTTTTAGGCCACTGCGAGCAATTCGCTTCTTTACTTTTCGAACCATTTCTGCTGATGTTGCTGTTTTCTTCCGTCCACTTCCTTGACGTCGAGCTACGCTACCAGTATCACGGTAAAGAGCGATGGTACGAGACACAATAGATTTATTTACGTTTAAATTCTGTAATGCTTTAACGACAGCCACTTGTGGTTTCCAGCCAAATATAAAGAAATCACACTATCACGCTTGAATTCCATTTTTTCTGGAAAATTCTCACCAAAATGCTTTTGTGTGCTTGTAAGCAATATAATGAGCTGTCACCGAAATAATTTTACCAGCTGTCAGACAAGGGGCTTAGAAATGACAGCAGTCTGAAATAGGTTGTAGTTATTTCATCTCACCCTGTATGTTTAAATATGGTTCCTGATGATGTCTTCCGTCGGAGGACGAAATATCGAAAATAATAAATACAAAACATTTAAAAAACAACAAAAACCCCGAGCTCAATTTTAGTAAACTTACATTTGAAATAGTTTAGTGTCATTTCAACCGTAACCTTAGAGTTCGCTTTTCCAAAAACACTTTGGTACACATATTCTGCACTCACTCACTTACTCTCATTCTATATTTCAGAATTCTAGTTTGTCAAATATAAAGCTTTAAATTTTTATTACATTAAATTTTATTTACATTAGGAATTTACAAAAACCCCGCCTTATTGCATCCTACGCACTAATATTGCAAAGTTTCATGATTCTAGCTTCAGCAGTTTCGCCTGAGGTTGACTCAGTCAAAAACTCACTCATAATCGTACATTTCTATACGTATAAGATGTACTGACAATATAGACTTACCGGCATTTTAACATTCTAAATTTTTCCGCTGTGAATTCTCGGTTACAAACTTAATCGGCTTTCGAAGATTGTAGGGTATAAATGCCCAAGAAAAAACAAACAAAAAACCATCTTCCCATGTCTGTTATTTTAACATATTTGCTAAAAGTATTTTTTATAACCACTCACTCAAATATTATCCATTTCCCTTTTCACTACCACCACTACCATCGTCCCACAAAAAAAAAAAAACTCTCTCAATAACAAAGAAATTCTTCGTCGACACGGAGACATGCACCGAAACATACAAAAACTATTTCTAATACAAGGAACAATCACAATAACCATCAAACAAACACACGAAAAACAGCTACAACAATGATGATGGAGCGGGAGTAAATAGTGCGTAGCAGTCATGTAGAGAGAGGCGGTGAGAGAGAGAGTGGGTTACAGCATATTCCACACTTGATGTACATTAAAGTGAATAGTGTTTTGTAGTTGCTGTTGTTATGAATATAGCAGCCAAAGCTGCTGACATCAGCATTCTTCTTCTTCCTAGCAATGCTCTTGGTAGGTGTTGTAGTTGCTGTTATTGCAATAACATTTACTTTGTTGCAAATATTTACCGAGAATCTCATCCATTTTCGTTTGTTTAGTTCCTGTCGTTTGGCTTGTTATATTCCTGCTCCACTTATACAACAAACCACACACTCTCTCACACACACAGGCACACATACTCAAAGCAACTATTGCCTGTATTGTTAAACTTCCTGATGTCGTTGTTGCTGTTGCTAGTGTATTACTCTTACGGATGCTGTCATTGTTCTAGTTGTCATTGATGCTATTAAATTGAAATCTTTTTATTTTGATATTGATCGATGCAAATTGATAGCACGTTTTTCAACAGCAACAACAATAGCAATAAGAAATCCAACAACATCAGAAGTAGAAAAAGAAGAACAGAAAAAAACGTAAGCCATTGAAAACCCCAAAGAACAAAATAAATAAAAACGAATGATAGCATCAAAGAAACAACAAAATACCATCAATACTAGCCATAACAACAACAATTGCAACTAGATTTTTATCTCCGGCTGTTTGAGTTATCTGCAGAAGCACCAATACAGACAAACAGAAATAATAGACATCAATATAATCGGAAAACAATACAAAGTATTCTCAAATAGACTTAAACCTAACTTTATTTGTTAAGGAAAATTGATATGATTTGTTGAGGGAAAATATAGACAAGTTTTGTTGAGATTTTCTTTTTTAAGGGAGATATAGAAGAAGAAGGATGACAGTTGAAGGCTTATATTTTTTAGCAGTAAATAAGGTAGTTTGGACGTATGAAAAATATTATATTTTGAAAACGTATACGCACTGATGGGCAGTAGATTCATTGAAATTTGCAATACGATAATATGACATAGAAATAAGAATAAATTATAGGATAACACTGTGCAACACACAAAATAACTACCAGAAACCATGTGCAATTACATTCAAATTTTAAAAAGTTGCGGAAAAACCAGAGAACATAATGAGTGCAGTACAGAAATCTGAAATCTGTGTATTGTCGTTTGAGAAGTTTACATAGGAAGGTAATCAAAATTAGGAATGAAAGTTCCGCTCGCTTTTACATTTTTCAAAAATTTTTAGGAGCCTGAGATGGGTAAAAATACAAATACAAATTTGTTTTACACTATTCACCACTATCTTTATCAAATTAAATTGAAATAATGAAGAGAGTAGAATATGTTATTTCAGAATATCAATACGTTTAAATTAAGATAAACAAGTTAAATAGTATCAGTCAGTTTTGCCGACAGAGGTATACGCCCAGCTCTGAGCTATAATTATTCTAACTGTTGACCCTTTGTGGGGGAGGTTTCGAAGCAGTTGGCCAATATTGTCCAAATCGTGTCTGACCTATGTCTGATATAAATATTCAACGTGCCAGATTTTAATTATATAGACTACTTCTTATACTATATATGAGATGCCATATTTGGACTATATCTTTTTTTTTTTTTTTGGAAAATGTGCAAATATGCGTGAGTTACCAGATAAAGCGTACCGAAATATTCCACTAATACAGAAAAGAATCGAACATTTATATCCAATTTTATACGAAATCATAAACTCCGATAAATTACGTATTTATATCAGATTTCTGGCTAAGGAAAATATTATGATGTGCAAGTTGTATAGAATCGCCGACTTGTCTCGCACTTATGACATATATAAGTATTGGAAATTGTGAGTCTGTGGTTGAGGTACCAGAACGGGTTGGCATAAGTCTATTATCTTCATAACAAATTTTGCGTTAGCAAAAATGTTTGGATGTGTGAGATTTAAGAGTTGGATGCTTATATCGCGTTTTATGAGAATTTTGTTTTTTGAACGATTTGTCGGGGAAGTACCAGCAAGAGTGCGCCGATATATCCCATTTCAGATCTTGTGTTAGTAAAAACAAAAGCTTGTGTGAAATTTGAAGCAAACTGGATGCTTATTTCGCGTTTTATGTGCGTTTTGTTTTTCGAAATCTTGAACCCTATGTGGGGGAGGTACCTGAAGATCTCTCCGATCTCTACCGTCTTTATGAGAGATCTTGTGTTGATAGAAATATTGAGATGTCTGAATGGAATCGGACGTTAATTTTGCGTTATAGGAGATTCATGGATATTCAAAATTTTGACCCTTTGTGGGGAAGGTACCTGAAGTAATGGAACGATACGTCCCATCTTTACAGCAGATCTTGTTTTGATAAAAATATTGAGCTGTGGCAAGTCTGAATGGAATCACATGTAAATTTCCCGTCTTATGAGCTTCATAGATATTAAAAACGTTGAGCCTTTGTGGGGGAGGTACCGGAAGGAGTTAACCAATATATTACATCTTCATACCAGATCTTGGGTTAATATGTATATAATTTGAATACAATCAGACTCTCACATCACACGCTATAAGAGTTAGAATTATTTAAATGTTTCCCCTTTGTGGTTGAGGTACTTGATGGAATGGAGCGATATTGCGCATCTTCGAACTCGATCTAAGTTTGACAATAATTAATAATAAACAAATCGGATACTTCCTGAGAGAGTTATCGTGCCCACCAGCTAGCTAGACAGATGGACGGACACAACTAGATTGACTTCAAATGTCCTGAGACGGATTCGGTCCAAAGAAACCTAGGGCCTAAAACCATTATTTCGATGAGGCACGTTTTGGCCGAATAATATGATATACACCCTTTGATATATTTCCCCAAATATTGTTGATGCAGAGTGCATATTACGGCTGCGGATGACAAAAATAACACATCGAATGAACAATATATATGGGAGCTATAGCTATATCTGAACCGATTTCGATCAAATTTGGCATACTTATTTTCAGGCCTAATTTGGTTGTATGTGCAAAATTTCATACTATTCGGGCTGATATTACACGTTTGGTGCACAATAAAAGGCAAATCGGAAGAAGATATATATGGGAGCTATATCTAAATTTGTACCGATTATCTCCAATTTCAACAGGGTTCGTCCTTGGACCAAACAAATGTTGTTTGCAAAGTTTCATCTCAATCGGATAATAAATGCGACCTGCATTTTGTTCACAAGAATACATGGACAGACGGACGGACGGACGGACAGACGGACTGACATGCATAAATCAACTCAGAAAGTGGTTCTATGCAGATCATCAAAAGGAACTATGGGTCTATCTCGTTTCCTTTTGCCTGTTACAAACAAATGCACAAAGACATAATACCCTGACCACCTTGTGGTGTAGGGTATAAATAGCAAACTTGACTAATTCTCACTAATGGCCACACAGTAAAAAAACAATATTTTCAACATTTTAATTTTTTATTAATAACTTTTTTTTGTTTTCATAATTTCTTAAAAATGTTATAAATTAGATACACGATCATTGATATTTGTTTTTTTTTTTAATAATTTCTTTTGTTTTAGCCTATATCTCTTAGAACACATAATCATGCAATAATATCGTTTTTCTCGCTCGCTGCCTAAGAACTATTACACGTTTCTGTCAAACTTTTTGTTATAATAAATTAGAAAATAATAACTAAATATAAAATAATAATTATAATAATAAACAAATAAATAATTTTGTAAGGATAAAATAAAAATTCACTAAATTGTATTTCTTTATGAGCTAGGGAATAGAAGCCAATTGGGATTTGCGTTTTTTGTTGAGTTTTCCTATATAAAATTTAAATTAAAATTTTCATAAATGTGATGGTGTCTATGCAAGTATTATTAAATGATTATAGCTAATTATTGTTAAAATACAAAACTGGGAAATACATTGTTTATAAAACCTTAAAATAGAACATTATTGGAAGTGAGTTCTGGGTGGTAAAACTAAAGCAGGGAGGGAGGAGAGAAAATTTCATTTTTGTATTTTGAAATAAAATTGAATTTCTATATCGAAAATCTAGTTCAGAATCAATGACAATGGTTATTGTTACTACAAAAATCACAAAAGTAAATTTCGAAGATTGACAAAGGTTCTGCCTCTATTCTGTCTATAAAGAGGCTGTTTCCTCTCTTAAACTCAAATGAGGTTTTTTTTTTTTTTTTTTTTTTTTTTGAAAAACTAAAATGTTAGAATTTTTAGTTTGAGATTCGAATTTTTAAATAAAAAAAAAATTGATTAAAATTTTTGGAGGTCAACATAAATTATGTGCCTTTTTGTGATCTTAAGATAAAAAATGGAAATGGGAACATAGATTAAAAAAAAAATTAAAATATAATTTTAAATTCATTAAAATTAAATATTAGTATTTTTTCCATCAAAGTCTCTTTTCTTCCACCCTGCTTAAATTTTTCTTACAGTTACTCACATTTTTTTACTATTTTAATTTTTTTCAAATCTTATTTTAACAAATTAATTGGGGTTTATCACAATGATATCATCACTTAAAATTAGTTTTATAATAATTTTCTTTTTTCTTTTCATTTTATTTCTCTTCTACTACAACAGACTTAAAAATCATTGTCAAACACTGGGTATTCCTTTGTCTATCTTAGAGAGAGAGAGAAAAAATAACATGGCTGCCATCATAGGTGAATTGTACTTAAAACATAACCTTAAATTATTTATATGTCAATTTTAACTTACAAACTAATTTTCGTTCGTCAAATCGGTCTATTTAAGCGTCCACATTTTTTTTTTCTTTTTTGTCAATTTAAATATAATTTTAGTTTTTGTTTTTATCACAATGTAATTTGTGTCCTTTGAAATATTTGTCAATACATGTTGAAGACATCATCAATCTATGGGGAAATTTAAGAGAAGAGAAGAAGGGAGAGAGAGAGTGAGAGTGAAAATATTGAAAGAGTAACACATTATTTTTGTTTGCATTAATGAAAACAAGACTCTTGCCAATTGAGCTTCATGAAACTGTAGTTATAGCCTTCAAGTTGGTCACCAGTGCTCTAGGTCCCTTATGCGATTTATGGGAGGATTTCTGAAAAATAAAAAAATATATAAATATAATATATCACTCATTTGTCCTCAATACATACGGTAACATTCTTGACAAGGCATGTTTGTGTAGCGGTGATATCTGCTGCATGGCGGCCGCCGATGCTATCGACGAGCTGGAGTCCTGTGACATTGTCCTCTGCATATGCATGGGATGGGACTGTATTTGTTGCGCCCTACGGAACGGATAGCGCCATGGACTCTTTGGCACATCACTCTGATAGGCTTTATTATCCACACCGCCACCACCACCACCTCCACTACCCGACGACGAATGGTGACCATGTGGTATATGTGTCACCTGATGATGTCCACCGCCACCACTACTATTGGGCCCATGATGTGCCATAGCACTACTCGCACTACCACGATGTGTCTGTGGCATTGAATTATCACGGGCCTTTGAGGAGAGTCTTCTCAGGATGCGTGAACCCAACCCGGGGGGATCTTCTAGACTACGACTGGTACGTTTGCGATAGCGCACATCACTTGATTCTTCTAGGATGACATGACGATCATACGGTGTGCCATAGTACACTTCGAGAACGGTGGAGAATGTGTGAGGCCACACCAAGTCGATGATGGAGATGAGAACACCCGCCACAAAACATAGAATGCCTGGAAAGAGAAAAATTGGGGATTTTGAAATGATTCGTAAAGGACTATAAATAATTGAAGTTATGGATTATTAAATAAATAAATAAAAACGATGGATATATAGGGACAAAACTAAATTATAGAAAAATAAATAAATTAGAACCAGTAAGGAAAAGTCAAAAGTCAGGCGGGGCCGACTATATGATACCCTACATAACTATGCATATTTAGTAGAGCTCCCGTAACTAAAGAATTTATTTCAAGTAGATCATACCATCTATCAACATTTGGCTTTAGAGCAGTTATAGTTTTCTACAGAAAGCATGATATCACTTGGAGGAGGATTATATTGAAAAAATATATATCGGAGCCGAGTTGCACAACATAGAAACGTATGTCCCGAAATTCACTCCATTTGGGCTGATATTAGCCATTATTTGCACAATAAACCTGAAATCGGATTAAGGATACATATAGAAGATATATCCAAATCTTTGAGTTCCCGAAAAAAATTGGCAAATGTATTTCCGAGCTTTATAAGATATCTGGTACCAAATATCATTTTTGTCGAATGCATATTACGAAAGTGAGGGATTTTAACCCCAAATCGGGTAAAACATATATATGAGAGCTATAGCTATATATAAACCGATTTTCACCAAACTTGATGTACTTACTTCTAGACAGAATTCAGTCGGATGTGCCAAAATTTAAGCTATTTGACCTGATATTAATGCATAATTAACCAGAAATCGGTTGATATAGGAGCTATATCTAAATATGAACCGATTCTCGTCCTTGGGTCAAGCAAATATTGTTCAGAAAATTTCATTTCAATCGGATAATAAATACACCCTGCATTTTGTTCACAAAAATACTTAGACAGACGGATTGACATGCATAAATCGACTTAGAAAGTAATTCTACAGGGTCAGATGAAAAAACTGCAATCAACTTCAGACTGCTGTCATTTATAAGCCACTCGTCCGACAGATGTTAAAAATATTCCAGTGACAGCTCATTATATTGTTTACAAGCTCATAAAAGCATTTTGGTCGGAATTTTGCAGATAAAAAATTTATTCGTGATGGAATTCAAGCGTGATAGTGTGATTTCTTTCTGGAAAACCGCAAGTGGCTATCGTTAGAGCACTCCAGCATTTAAATGTGAATAAATCTATTGTGTCTTGTACCATCGCTCGTTACCGTGATACTAGTAGTGTATCCCGACGTCAGGAAGTGAACGGAAGAAAACAGCAATATCAGCAGAAATGGTTCGAAAAGTTAAGACACGACTTGATCGAAACCCGCGTCGCAGTGGCCGAAGAATGGTTCGTGAGCTGAACAAATCGCAATATTCCATACGGCAAATATTAAAAAATGAGCTCGGGGTAAAGTCATTGAAATTCCAAAAATTGCAAGAACTTACACCGCAACAGAAAGAAAATAGACTCCAAAGAGCTAACGAGTTGCTTCGTTTGGCCAATAGTGGTGAACTGTCGAATTTGGTTTTCTCCGTCTCCGATGAGAAAACATTCCAGCAGTTCAAAATGATCGTGTCTTCTTGCCACCAGAACTCAAGCACCAGCCATGGTGATGGTGTTGGCCGCCATAACAGCCGATTGGACAGGGATATTTTTGAGCTTTATCTGATATCTTGTACCGAATATCATGGATATGTATATATATATATATATATATATATATATATATATATATATATATATATATATATATATATATATATATATATATATATATATATATATATATATAGATATATATATATATATATATATATATATATATATATATATATATATATATATATATATATATATATATACATATATATATATATATATATATATATATATATATATATATATATATATATATATATATATATATATATATATTTTGGAAAGCAAGGTTGGCACTAAAAAGTACCAAAGTGTCGATCACCTCAAGCAAGCGCTTTGCTGTGGCCAAAATACCTCAGAGCATCATTGGGGCAGCGGGTGACGGTTTCATTGTCCGTTTGAAGACCATAACTTATTCTACAATTTGATGCTATTCCGACCTTTTTTTCTTTCATTCAATAAAATTTAGAAAAAAATGTAAAAGTTATGGCGTTTGACTTTGTTGCAGATTTTTATCTCACCCTATATTTGGAAGTTGGTCGGGATTAAAAATATTCGCGGTTTAGTGGAAATTTTCGTATATTTTGACATAAAATTTGTATTTTTTACCCGCTAAATATTGTCGGATGGCCATACAAATTGGTTAGCTTCTGCATAGCCCTAAAATGCAAATTCCGCGTCGACTGGTTTATAATTGTAACCTGTAGAGCAACAACAAAATCAGTATTTTTTCTGTCTTGGTCTATTTCAATTCCTAAATATTTTGCGATAATTTCCTAATTCAATTGGCTTCTAGTCTTCCCACCTCCATTTTCAATTTCAAATTTACATAGACTGACGGACGAACAGACATATATAGCTAGATGGACTCAGCTCGGCGAGATAGGAAGATCCATATATAGTTTTCTATATCGTGGAAAAATATTTCGAGAAGTTACATAATTTTTGGACCAATCAAACTTATAATACCCCCGACATATAGTGCTTTTGGGTATAACAATTTAACGCCGTTGCCGATGTTGTCATTGATTTAATATTTTATTATTTTTTTTCAGAATCAACGGCAACAAAAGTATTTAAAGTCTTGCAAAATCCTTGAAAAAGTTTTAAGAAATCCTTGATTTATTCGGTACTCCTATCTCTCGTCCTCAGTCCTCTGCCTACCAAGCATTTATGCTACACGCACACATCCACCACAAATACGACTTACCTCCTCCCCCCACGTGGAAAGCTTACCAAAAACCTACGAGATATCGCAAATGCCCAATTTTAGTTTTTCTTGCACTTACCTGCTACCAATAGCAACCAATAACACCAGCCCAGATGAAATTCCAAACGGCCGCCCTCCATGTATATGGTCAGTGGTCTTTTTGGCAATTGACAATAATAGCCAATATTGGTGCATATCAAAAGTGCACCGGTTAGGGCCTTCATGTACGCACCGTAACGTGGCACAGCGATAAGTAACAAATTCATCATCAGCCACGAGGCTAGGGAGGCCCACAGCAAAATGCTGGCAAAATAGCCGGCGGCACGATACTGGCCGCCCCATGAGAAACCTTCACGACCGAGACTGAAATACTCGGCAACGGTTAAGATGGGATAGGGTAGGCCACGCTTCAGTGCCTCACGATAATTGGTACTCATGTCGGTGGCACCCTCCCAGGTGAAACGTTCATTATAATCGATGTCCGGTGGTGTCCAATTGCCGACGGGTATGGCTGTAAAATAGAAGTAGAAGAACAAACGGAAATTGAAACAAACAAACATACACATGTACGCACACACACAAAGAAGTAAGCATAAAAACAAACATTAATTTTTCATTTCAATGGCAATGTTTGGTTATTGCGAAACTGTGGCAAGTGGGAAATGGCAAAGGGAAGAATGTGCTGCGGGTCCTTGACCATGCTGCAGTTGTTAATATTTGGTTATTGTCATCGTTGTTGCTATTCGCTTTCGGTTTGATTTGGTTATTTGCTCATATGATGTTCGGGACCATAAATTTTTCACTTTACCCTACCGAAAGAATAATCTTCAGACACAGTCACCGAGAATTGTCTGCCCTGCTCAAAAGCCTTTGCAATGATATTTCTCTGCTTTGTGGCTTTGTTTACATTCGAGGTATTTGTTTACATTTAAACTGTCTATAAGTCTGGCTGTTCGTTTTTTTTTTCTTTTTTTGGTTTTCTCTGTTTATTCTGACTTAAAAATAAAAATTGATAACCATTAATTAAATGAAAAATGCTTTATTTATTTGCAGAGCAATAATTGAAGAGGTCTGGAGAAAATATTAAAAAATCAATGTTCAGACAGGTGTGAATTGAATGGAAATTTAATTGGAAATTTTTGCAGTGGACTTTAAAGTTTAAAATTCAAAATATATAATGATGTTGATGAGTTAAGTTGATGGTCAACCTCAATTTTACATTGGCAGCTTTTTTTTTCGATTTAGAGACAGATTTTAACATTGTGAAACTGGAGTCTATCCATAACCATACCTATATGCCTTAGGTATTTCCCCAATCCTGATTGAATGGATTGAAAGAATGCTAAAAGGCAGAATTTACAATTCAACCTTGTGAGACAGTTCCATTGACAAACTCTCGACGGAGGACACAGCAAGAGGAGTTCTCTAACCTCTGGTGATCAATTAGATACTTTCGACCAAATTCGAATAAAGACAGATGCCGATAACGTAATGGTGCTGATAAGTGGTAGACCTTTTCCAACTACTTCAGATGTAATTTCAGAGATATTTTGAAAGCTTGCATTTCCCATATTTCGAAAATTTTCGCATTAAGATTCCTCGGAATCCGCGCATTTTAGGTATATAGTCTCTTCGATAATATTGTAGACAAATATATGGGGAATATTTTTTTATTTTAAACCTAAAGCGGTTCTAGAAGCAAGTAAATCGAATTTGGAGAAAATCGGTTCAGGTATAGCTATAGGTCCCATATAAATTTCATCCAATTTGGGGTGATTTTGGCGTGATATGCACTCCACAAGAATGATATTTGATACCGGACATAAGATACTGCTCGAAAATATCTCTATCAAATTTTATCGGTATCGGTTCAGATTTGGATACAGCTCCCATAAATATCTTTATCCGATATCGCGGCACCAAAAGGCAAATATCAGCCCAAATTGACTGAATTTTGGAAATCTCGACTGAATTCATTCTATTAACCAGTATTCCCAAGTTAGTGTAAATCGGTTCAGATATAACTATAGCTCCCATATATATGTTTTATCGGATTTGGGATTTAAAGTCCCCCACAAGCGTAATATGTATTCCACAACAATGATCTTTGGTACCAATTATTAGATAGAGCTCTGAAATAAGTGTATCAAATTTAGTTAAGATCGGTTAAGATTTGAATATAGCTTCAATATATATCTTTAAGCGGTTTCGGATTAATTTTGCACCAAATGGCTAATATAAGTCCAAATGACCTGTATTTTGGTACATCCCAGCGAATTCAATCTAAAAGCAAGTAAATCAAATTTTGAGAAAATCGGTTCAGATATAGCTATAGCTCCCATATAAATTTCATCCAATTTGCGGTTTTAAGTCCCTCACATGTGTAATATGCACTCCAGAAGAATAATATTTGATACTGGACATCAGATACTGTTCGAAAATATATCTGTCAAATTTTATCGAGATCGGTTAAGATTTGTATATTGCTTTTCCAATATCAGGTTTATCGTGCACCAAATGGCTAATATCAGCCTAAATGGACTGAATTTGGCAATTACGACTGAAATCATCCTACAGACTAGTGTAATTTCAAATTTGGTGTAAATCGGTTCTGATATAGCTATGGCTCCCATATATATGTTTTATCCGATTTGGGGTTTAAAGCCTCTCACATGTTTAATATGTACTCCACAACAGTGGTATTTGACACCTGGCATCGGATGCAGCTCGAAAATACCTCTGCCAAATTTTACCGCGATCAGTTCAGATTTTTATATAACTTCGATATACATCTTTGTCCGATTTTACGACTATTGTGAACAATATATTTATTACATATATATTTATTACATATTGTATTTATTACATATATTGTTCACAATAGTCGTAAAATCGGACAAAGATGTCAAAGTTATATAAAAATCTGAACTGATCTCGATAAAATTTAGCAATTTGGATAATTTTTTCATATTCAACCGAATTTTTCAATTTGGTGAAACTCAGTCCTATTGCTGCAATAAAATTTTTTTAATATAATTCTTATCGAAGTCATATCATGCACTATACGGCAATGTTATTTAGTCTAAGGGTACAAAAGCTTAAGTCAAATTTGTTGAACATCGGTTCAGAGTTGAATATATTTCCCAAATTGTGACTACTATAAAGATATGATAGGAAGAACGACCATCGGCTGTTATGGCTGCCAAAACCATTATCATGGCCTGCGCTTGAGTTCTGGTGACCAACCGAAGGTGCACATTTTCAGCTAACCTCTTCGGCAAGTAAATACGATCATTTTGTTTGTTTACAAACTGCTGGACAACGAATGTTTTCTCATCGGGGAAAACCAAATTCGACAGTTCACCACTTTCGGCCAAGCGAAGCAACTCTTTAGTCTATTTTCTTCATGTTACGGTGTAAGTTCTTGGACTTTTCGGACTGTCTTTATCCCGAGCTCATTTTTCAATATTTGCCGAATGGGATATTGAGATATGTTCAGCTCACGAGCCATTTTTCGCCCCCTGCGACACGGGCTTCGATCAAGTCGCTTCTTTACTTTTCGAACCATTTCTGCTGATGTTGTTGTTTTCTTTCGTCCACTTCCATGACGTCGGACTACGCTACCAGTATCACGGTAACGAGCGATGGTACGGGACACAAAAGATTTATTCACATTTAAATGCTCGAGAGCTCTAACGATAGTCCCTTGTGGTTTTCCAGCCAAATATAAAGAAATAACACTATCACGCTTGAATTCCATCACGAATAACTTTTTTTCTGGAAAATTCTCACCCAAATGCTTTTGTACGCTTGTAAACAATATAATGAGATGTCACTGGAATAATTTTAACAGCTGTCGGACAACTGGTTTAGTAATGACAGCAGTCTGAAATTGGTTCCAGTTTTTTTATCTCACCCTGTAGTTCCTAAATTGTGAATACTCTCAACCCATGATACGCATTCAAATAAGGTTCATAATTGGTGTGATCTACTTCACATATATACCCAATATAAACTTTTTTCGTTAGGGGAGCTCTATAAAAAACGCATGGTGGTGTAGGGTATTATATAGTTGGACCCGCCTGACTTTTGACCTTTCCTTTCTGGTTTCCGTTAAATTTCGTCAAATTTTTTGCCTTTTAATTTCTTATTATGTTGAATTGATATTTTCAAAATTTTTCAATATTGGCCCCCTTTTGGTACATCACTTATACAAAGAAACCCCCTGACTTTTGAAATAATTCTAACTAACCAACAGAAAATTATTATCTATAATAGTGTGCAATAAATGGCTGTATATTTTTTGCAGAATTTTTTTTTTTTAAATAACAAAAAACTGTTGTTTTTAGAGCATTCACCACCTCAAAATATGTGAACCCAATTTTTTTTTTTTTGGCTTCGTTAGTTTTAATATGCTTACTATTTAATAAATCGATAATGATAAAAATTTTTGATTTTAGGCAGAAAAATCGAATTCTTAATTGTTATGTGCTGGTAAGGTCCGCTAATGAGTACTCATGTCCTGAAAAAAATTTCAAACCTGCCAAAAATTTGGCTTCTCGAACTACAACAGGTTACCTTACATAAATAAGCAAATATCTTCAGCTCTAAGTATCCTTCACTAACACGTCTTACTTTCTTGTAAATAAGGATCATGACCAGAAATCTTCACAATCATCTGAAAGAGGTCCAGATTTACAATAGCTCTATCTCTGCTCATTGGGCAATAATTATTAATATAACGTCATCCGTGCATCAAGTGGAAACAACGACTATTCAACAATCGGGCAAAGTCTGTTTGTCAGGCCTTCAAATCCCCATGGACCCAACCAGCTGTCTCTGCATCGTCCATAGAAAAAAATCGCAAATGTTTTTATTTACCTTAGTTGGGACACATATTTCTTGGCAATTCCTCAAAATTTGCATTTGGATATTCCCAATGTATTTACCCAATTCTTAATATTTTAAATCTGATAATTTATGTATATTAAAATAAACGTAAATTCCATCTAATTTGTCACCTCCGCCATAGCCAAGTTGCTATGCATTATTACTGCAGTCCATATCACCTCTACGTGCATTCATTTACCTTATTCCTGTAATAATGTGTTTCATTGTTTGTGTTGTAACAATTGCTCTTAGCATTGACTGGCCAACCAACCAACTGGTCTAACAACATTCAAAAACTGTGAATTTGTTCAATGCTCGTTGCGGTTTGTTGTTACAGCCAACCGGCATTACCTTCATCCGGGTTCCACATATTATTGACATTAAGGAAATTGCTCTCTCGCAAGTCTATGACATGATTTATTTGGTCAATATATGATGCAATTGCTAATGTGGATATATTTTTTGTTGATGCATGTGGTCAAAACGTACGTATGTGGAATTTCCCAGCGTGAGCGCATAAACACCATTCCATCAATGGGTGACAAGGGCTTTACCAGAGAAAATTTCGTAATTTGAAATTAATCTTAAGCATTTTTGGAAGTGATTTTTGTGATTTTCTTA